AATGACCAACAACGTTTTGGTGTTCCAACGTGGAGCTAGAGCAAAAGAAAATCTAGCTACAAGCTCTGTTGACCAGCCTGACCTTGAACTCACAGAGCTCCATCCCTCTGCCTGCCCTGCTGGGATTAAAGGTACAAGCACACACCACCACCGCTCAGCTATGCTTATCATTTCAAATAGCTACATTTCAATACATTTTTGAAATTATATGGCTTTACTAGAAAGATGTAGCAGGCAGTTTTATCAGACAAGTGAATTTGTTGTCTACTCATTTTAGACTAGAACTAAAGATGAACTAGAGATGACTCATTTTGAAATTAAAACTGTCATCCTCAAGTAAGATACTATAACTTTTTATTGCTAACAATCACCATATAGTTATCCATTTTATAAATTTAAAAGGACACACAAAGAGGTAACCTGCTCAAACGTGCTGGCAATGTGAGAGAACAAGATTCTCCTTTTACTGAACGAGACACCTGAGAAACCACAGTGTGCGAGGGAGGAGTTAATGTGCTTTTGCTTTTGCTTTTAGATGAATATTGACGCTGGAGCGTGAACTGTGTTAGAAAGTCCTCCAAATTATTTCTTGAGGAGATTGTTTTTACATTTAGTTAGATACTGCGTAAGTTCACACACAGGCATTGAAATGCTTTTCAATTCATCCTTTTGATTATATAAAGTAATTAATTTTTCAAAAATAGATGATACTATATTTCCAGAATGGTTAGTTGTGATAGGTATGCTCTGAACTGAATTTATCACCAGTAATGCAGGGATGCTTCATTGAGTGACGTTAAGATTTCTCATAAGCTATTGAGAAAAAATAGTTGACAAATATCAGGCAATCACTCTCCGCATCTGGATTCCTGCTGCTCGATACTTGTGGATATTAAACACTTGCAATGGGGCTAGTGCCACATACTGAAGGATGGTGGTGAAGATCATTGAACTAAACAACATACCTCATAAAGTTTAATTTTGCTTTTGCCTTCTTTAAAAAGGACTAAGAAAATGTTTTAGTGCTTTACATTTCTATTGGACAATGTTGTCCCAAATACCAGAAAAATATGCCCAATTTAACTTCGGAACAGCATTTTTTGTTCAAATTGTTTTCATTAAATTATGCTGGCACTAGGGCCACTACTAGACCATTGAAGCTCTGCACATTCCTTGTGGGGCTGATGCTGACCCCTGTCCTCATCCCACAACGTGTCCTCTGTCCAGGAACCACGAGGGTGAACATCCATGGCTCCCTATAAAGGGCACCATATTCTGCTCGGCTACAGTTTAACTTGCTTGTGACATATGACTTGGAGCACATTTCTTTCTTTGTGGGTGACTGATGGCTTTCTGTAGCTGTGAGTCAGACCCAAGTGAGACAAACACAAGACTTCCAAGCTCACCTTCCGTGTTCCTCATCTGTAAGGCCACCACAGTTCTATGGCACCATTTCTCTTCTCTGGTAATCTCACCACAACACTTCTTGTTGTATGGGAAGAGAACAGTGTATGGACACTTACCAGTGTCCGAGACGTGAGACGCTATCGGTAGCAGAGGCAAACACTTTACGGAAGCTGCGGCACTCCGCCAGTCCCCTTTCTCTCTCTGGGCTTGCGCAAGCTTTGGACCTTGCAGTCCGACTGACGTCTTAGCTCCTGCCCTTCTTCCCTGCTTCGACTTTCTGGACCCAAGTGTTCTCTTCCATAAAATTAAAATATACTGATTGTCTAGTAGAGTTGTGGGAATGGATGATGATGGTGAAAAATGTGTCTGAAACATCAGCAGTAATTATATATTGGACATGATTCTTTGGGGAGCGCCATTGCAACCCTGTGTTTCTTCTTACTAGTAGACATGTATATTAAGGTTTTTTTGTTTTGTTTTCTGAGACAGGGTTTCTCCTGTGTAGCCCTGGTTGTCCTGGAACTTGATCTGTAGACCAGGCTGGCCTTGAATTTAGAGATCTGCCTTCCTCTGCCTCCCGAGTGCTGGAATTAAAGGTGTGTGCCACCATGCCCAGTTCAGTTAAATTTTAAAACTAAATCAATTTAATACTTTGTTTTTACTGAGTCCTGGATAGAATAAAGACAAAGGCTTACTCGCTAAAAATTTGAATTCTGGTGAATCTAATAACTGATGTCTTAAAATGACTTTTCGTATCACAATATATTACATGGGTTGTTTGCATAAGATGGTAGACTTTGTTCTGTAATTGAATAATGTTCTGAACAGGTTCACTTATCTACAAATTTTCTTGGCAGCTCACTTTAACTGGCAGTGTTGGCATGTTTTCTTTCCTTGGTGGTTTGTATGTAGAATTCCAGTGAGGTGTGCTAACAGTTCTTACTGTGTGTTATCAAGAGAAATGTGGGTAAAAGGTGGTGACTCAGATGAACATGGCAGCTGCAATTTTCCTTGTTGACAAAACCCCACCTGCAATTGCGACCTTCTCTTCATATGTTAGAAAGTGAAAACTGTTGTTTTTTAAATATGTCTTCCACTCATGTATTTGAAACTTTCATTAGGGTTTTAAATAATATATTACTTTATGCTTAATCAACATTTTAATGTTTATATTTCTGTTCAACAAGAAAACTTTTATCTGTGACATGTGGGACATCGCAGTGCAGCAAGAGATGAGTCTAAGCCAGTGTTTCAACCCATGGCAACCTCCCCGGGAGCTCAGATTATTATTATTCAGGGATGTAAACAGGATTTGCACATTTAAATCTTTTCTTGTGATCAAGGCTATTAATGAGAAGGCCGAGGGGAAGAAGTTCATGTTAGCGTGGTGAAGAAAAGTGATGAAGTGTTTGGGCATCATTTTTAAGAAACCAATCAGTAGTTTGCATGTCTGGCATCTTGTCAAAACCCTATAACCATTATTGCTAACTGTGAAAATCGACTTCACCTAACAGAATTGTTTAGAGCACCTCCTTTATTCCTTCTCATCCTAAGTCCTTTTTTTTGTACTTATTTCTCAGAATAAAACCAAAAATAAATGTATGCTGTCACTGCAACATGTGCAAGAACACTAGGGCACTGTTATACACAGAGCAGGGGCCAAATGATTACTGTTCAAAAACAACAAAATTCCCAGGTGCAGTAAAACCTTACTAATTAACAGAATGCTAACTAATAAAATAATTTGACATCCGAAGTCAGCATTCCACAGAAGGTGGTTCCTTTCACTATGTTACAGAGAGGTAGAAGCTTGTCTTGTACAGCATAGGGAAATTTTGGACCAAACTTATCTATAAGTAATGTGAACCCTGTGAACTCCAGTGTGTCAGCATTTACATTACTGCCTGACCTCAACTAGATTTTGATAAGTAGATGGAAGTATAATATTCGTGGCTGCTCTGGTTTAAGCTACTCAGGCTTAAAGCAGAAGGAGCACACTTTGCTGCCACACCCCAGGCGACAAGAAGTTGACCTCAGATATTCCGTTTCATTTATTGTTCAAATCTGAAAACAACTGGAAATTGGCTGGACACCCCCCAAATAACTTGTGAGCTCAGAGGGTTGGTTTCTTTTCTTGGTTGTTTGATTTTAGAGACAGGGTCTGCCTTTGTAACTCAGGCTAGTCTTGAACTCAGATTCCTGGGTGCTGATTCTTTTAAAGTAGCTGTTACTTTCGTGAGTCAAAACGAGACTGCCCTCTTCTCCCCTTTCAGACTTCAGTAGAGTTTAATAAATAGTTATAGGGCAGAGTATCTGGGATATTTATTTTGATGTTTCCTTTTTGAGATTTGGAGATTTTTAGGGGTCTAACAAATACATTAAACATTCCCTCAATTATATAGTTTGGAATTTCTATCCATGCAACTATATTCCTTCTATTAAACCATAAGATCTGAAAAAATCATAGAAAATACTCCCTAGTTCACCATCTTTGCTTAACCAATTCAAGTAAGAAACAGATGAGAATTTAGACAGGTAGTTGAGGCCAAGAATGCAAAAGGAGAAATCGTGATGTCAAATACAACATGGAATTCTTAAAGTTAGACATAGAATTTCTTAAAACATTGATAAAACTGACATTTCTTTTTTCAATGACATGAAATTTCGCACTGGACACCACACCATCAAACTGAATCAATAATTACGTATTAGCAGGAGACTATGGCCATAAAATGACCGTCTCACAGCACCCTCCCACCTTCTCTGAGATTATGAGAAGCTAAACAGACCTGTTAACCTGTTCCTAAGAAGTTGCCACCCAAGGTTACTTCATTAAAACAAAAATATATTTTAATTTAAGAAGTCCTAAGATATGTAAGCCCAGTAAGTCCTTAAAGGGAAGATTTACAATCTTTCTCTGAGTTGGTCACTTTTGCTTACCACATACCTAGGAGGCTGGGGCGGCTCCACTGAGTCATTGGGTATGAGGTTATAAATACTCTCGGAAGTGCAGGGTGGATCCATGGCCACCGAGGATTCCTTAATAACTACTCAACTTTTGACTCCCGATCTCACTGTCTCTGCTCCTTTTCTCGCCGCTTTTTTCTCTTCTTGCTCTCTTAACAAGGAACTAAAATTTCTCTTTCGCATAATAATCTCCCTTTGACCCTTTCATAGCAACCCCTTTTCGGAAGAACCTATTCTGACCCTCCAGAGACTGCCTAGCGTTGTTGACCGCGTGGTTGCTGTGGAAACAGTTGCTAGGTAACGGGCAGTGGCGGGCTGGTTCTCTCTGATCCCTGTTTTGTAACACCCTCTGCTGCCTGAGAAATACGTAAGAACGTTCCTGAGCCTTTGAAAATAATGCCCCACCACCACCACCACCACTCAATTTTTTTTTTCTTTTTTTTATTCAGTGCATCTGGGAAGAAAAATTCTACAACACGGGGCATGGCTGGTGCGCAGGCGTCACACAAGTCTCCAACACGCAGGCCCCGCCCGTGCGGGGGCGGAGCGAGCGGCAGGGGAAGGGGAGGAGCCGCGGGCCAGTGGGCGGGACGTGTTGGTCACGTGGCCGACCTAGCGGCGCAGTCGGCGCAGGCGCAGATGCAGCGGCTTTAGGGCGGGCGTGCCGGCTGAGGCTACCTTGGCGGTGCCGAAGCTGCTTCTTTTTCCCCTTCCTCTCCCTGGTCTTCTCTGGGTGGTTTACTTGGTGAGTTAATGGAGGAGGAAAGAAAGGCTGGCGCGGGGCGTTACTCTCATATCCTTCTCCGTCGCCCCCGATCTGGCCCTGCGAGGCCATCCACCTGTCGCACCGGTCCCCGCGGCCCGCCCTGTGCTCCGCTAGGTCTCGGGAGCGCGGGCGCGAGTGCGAGCCTGCGCCAGCAGGACCAGCATTTACAAGAGGGCCTCCGATTTTGCCCAGGTTTCAGCCCCCTAATCCCCTTTTGACGTTTATTTTCGCTCTCCGAGAAGTGCTTTTATTCCGTTTTGAGCCATATGCACTAGTATCTGCACGCTCATTTAGAAGCCTTGGCCCCAGCCACACTCTGTACTTGGGGAGAGAAAATCCGTAGCTCTGAATCCACTGGGAAGGTGTCCAGCAGGGAAGTCGTAGCGCATCACTTCTGCAGTTCTCACTGCCTAGTGGATGGGTTAAATGGCCTGGTGGCTTAGTGAGCTTTTCAGTTCCTACTTGGAAGGCTTCGCTCAATGTAAATGCTAATGTGAGACTCTTGCTAAATTTTATTCTATAAGAATAAAGAATAAATTTAATTTTCTGTTTTTCGATTTGATAGAATTTAATTTTTCTGGATAGTCCATAGTTCAGATGAATGACCTTTTGGGGGAAAGATTCTCCTTATTTTACATCAGATTGAGTTTTTAAGAAAAATGTTTTATATAAACAGGTATAAACAGAGATTACCCATTTTGGCCTTGGGAAAAAATGGTTGCTCTTCTTTTTGTTTAACATGTATAGAAAAAAATTCTCCAGGGGAGTCTGCTCCTGTGCTTGCTAAAGTTTGAATTATGAATTCATAGAATTAATCAACTTGATAATCATTAGCCAAGACATACATACCTTCCTGACCTCAGGACTGAACCCAGGGAATTAGCTAGCTAAGCCAGTGGTTGGAGCCACAGTGATGCCCCAAAGCTTATATTTGTTCTAATTGGAAGGAGTCGAATACGTGGGAAAAGATGTGAGAATACAGCCTTCAATGCAGGAAATGGTATAAGTTAACCCACATCATTCATGGGTTCTATATGTTAATTCCTGTTTGTTCAAGTTTATTCATAATCCCCCAAATCAATATCTGGTCACACAGGTTTAGTCATTGGTGAACTTGCACATGGCAGTGAAAATTTTGAATGTGGTATGTGCACATTCCCAGCTGAAGTCAAAGGTGTTGGTTGTTTGGGGTTTCAGTAACAGATGTTTTTGGTGCCTCGGGTTCTGCATTCTCATGCTTTCAGTGGCCACTCAGACAGGTCCTAAACTGAGTCCTCAGTTGCTCTATAGTGGTTCCAAGTATGAAGAGGCTGGTGTGTTTCACAGAGGAAACAGGTATGTTAGGATGGGTTTCATTTAGGCATGAGTTAGAGTGCCGTTGGCTTAGTTCATAGTATTTAATAAACAGTGTATGTAATGTCATTGAACAGATATGCATATGAAATAACATTAATATATTATTTATTGGAAAAAAGGATTGAGCCTAAAGGCTTGTAGGAATCCACCCTGGCATTTCACCTAAGAATGAAGAGCAAGTGGCCTTGCACAGCAGTTCAGGGAGAGAGACGGCATTAGAACGCCCAACTCCCGAATGAGAAGCAACTGTAGTGAAGGCCCAGTTTACAACTGGGAATTATTCCATCTTCTGACCTTTAATTAGCTTAGCTAAGACCTGGGAGAGAGGCTTCAGAGTCATTCTCATGACTAAATATTACAAAACACAATCTAGTATGTAGTGTACAGTTTTTCTTTAGAAAGCGTTCTATTGGGCTTGTCACAGCACTTGCTTGCCTTCTGCTAGCCTAAAGAGAACATTTACTGTGAAATGGTACTGCAGCATAATTTATAAATTCAGCTCCATAGTAGTTGTGTTTACCGTGCTCTCCCAATGTCGTTTGGAAAGAGGAAATGAGATAAAGGGTAAAATTGGAGCTTAGGGAGGGTGAGGCCAGAAGACAGGAGAAGATAAGGGAAGTTAATATGCGTGTGTCTGCTTTTCCACTGTCTGCTCTTTATGGAATGGACATCAAGAAACCGATATAAAGTTGAATCAAACATGGAAGATTAATTATCCATGAAAACAATAAAAACAAACAGAAACTCAGGTGTTACACAGTTCCGGCAGTGTGTGTGTGTATGTGCGTGTGAGTGTGATGTGAGTTGCTTGATGCATGTGTGTACCTAAGAGTGTACCTGTCATAATTAGATTAATTATGCTGTTTTGCACAGTGTCCTTAAAAACAGGTAGTGCTAACACACAGCACCAGAGTGCAGTTTTGTAAATTGCTTAGTGATTTAAGTTAAAGTTTTCTCTAGGCTTTGCTTTACTCTAAAGAGTGTATCAGACTACATGGCAAAAATTGTTTGTAATTTACGGTAAGCACCATTGTTCTCTCTGAAAATTTATAAATGATATGCCTAGCCTTATCTCTGGATAATTTCAATTTGGTCTACAGATTCTTTGATAGTTGTCATTGACTGGCAATGATTAATGTTAATATTTTTGTGCTAGTCACCAGAATACACCTTTGAATTTATCACGAACCTTTTTCAGTAGCTAAGATGTGTAAGTGGATGGCAGGTGCTTATAGGTTTTTCATGATAATTTGGGTGGATAAAAAAAAATCTGAAAGAACCATTTAGGTCCTTATTTCATAGCTTTTAGTTAACTGGTCAGCCCCTCATTAAACATCTAATTAAGTGATTAAAAATCACATGTCACGGTGAAAGATTTTGCAGTTGTTATTATTTGGTTATATTGTCTTTTTATTTTATTTTATATGTACGAGTGTTTTACTCACATAGATATCTGTGTATCGTGTGCCTGTCTGGTGTCCAGAGAGGTTAGAAGAGGGCACCAGATCCTGGAAACTAGATTGACAGATGGTTGTGAACTGCTGTGTGGTGCTGGAAATCAATTCCTGGTCCTAGGCAGGAACAAGTACTCTTCACTTCTGAGTCATCTCTCCAGTCCTGGTTATGGTTATGTTGTCTTTTATTGCTTAGTGGTAAAAATGCCTTCTTTATTGCTAGCAAAATTCTTTGCTGTTATACTATAAATGTTGCAATAAAGAAAAGCCCAATATCTTAATCATTCAGTAATAGATGATTTACAAATTTCAGGTGCCATTTTGAAGTATTTACACATGAAATTTTGTGATACTGTATAAAGTTCTGATTAACTTGAAATTCTTTTTCATTATAGACCCTACTTTCTTCAAAGATTGGCTTTGCCTCGGTCTTACTAAACTCTTCATCTATGGTTCCTGTTATTTTGCGTTTATACTTCAATGGAGTTAGACACAGCAGCATACAAAGTCAGTAGGAAATGAATTCTTTCTCTTGATAGGTTGAAGTGCTTGTAAGTAAAATTCAGAATTAACTTTTTAAAAATAGTCTGAAGATTTTATTGCAAAACAGAGTTTAGGTAGTATTAATAACAGTATACTGTTGGAAATTTTTTTATAGTTTTCTACTTAATTTTTGATACAGTTTACTGCATATTAGTTCTATCAGAGAGCATGCCTATACAATTATCTCCGTCAATTTAAGACATATTGCAAGCTATTAAATAAAATTTTATTATAGCAAAATATTTGATATTTGGCATGTTTTAAGGATGAGTACATTTCCAAAGACAGGCAATTGATGTGAACAATTGTAGATCGTCTCCATATGCCAAAAAAGTTTTCTTTTCATCATTGAATATCCTCATGAGTTTCTTTCTTTGAAGTCTAGAATTAAGTCTCACCATTAATAATGCTTACAGGAACATAAATGAAAGTGAAGGCCTCATTAGTTAGTCTTTATTAATTTTGGCACATTTTCCATTTCACTATGGCCTTTTAAAGGCATCGAATATCAAAATGTCAACGTGACCCTCAGGAGTCTGCAGGTTAAAGACAGACGGGGGAGAAAAGGACACATGTGGAACTGCAGCTTGGAAAATTGTGTATGCATCTTATAAGCAAGTGTGCTTGTTTATTCCAGTTTCCTGTTGTGGATTTTATAAGAAATTAATAAATAATGATAGTCTATCAAAATGATCATAAAGATAAGTTGAATATTAAGAGTTTGTCTCAGCTTTTATGAGTTGCAGGTACTTGTTACTACAACTCCACATTTTCTCCGCATGTGTTATAAGCCAGCAAATCGTGACCCTGTCTTTGTCACAGTGTTCCTACAAGGAAGAGAGACGCCAGTGGGATTACTGTGTCTTTATGAGGACGCGTGTTGGGACATTTTCTGAATAAGATTTCTGTTGTTAACCTTTGCTTTGTAACACCCTGGGAGTCATACATATTTTTTTAAAGTTTCATTTTATTGGTGTCTTGAAATTTGAAATGATATTAGCAAATACTGTGTGTTTTTTTCTGACAACCAAATAGACGTCAGAGTAGAAGAGGGGCTGGGAGAGGGAATGGGAGAGGAGAGGCAGAAGGGATGGGAAGGGGTGGAGAAAGGGCAATCTGAGTTTAATGAAAGCTTGATGGAAGTGGCTCAGTGAAGCTCACTGCTTTGTGTAATTAATATGTCATAATTATATCAGTTTATTAAGAAAGATAGTATATAGTATACTCTTATAATACTTCTTAAGTGTCCATCAGTTTGAAATATTTTGAACGTCTTATGTGTTGAAGGCATGAATATATTCAATCCTTTCGGGATTTTAAACATTTCTTGAAATAAGTAACTAAATGTCTTTATGTCTTTAAAGGGTCTAAAGTCAACCCTAGGTTGGCTCAGACAGAAAAGTGGAAAGAAATGCTGAACTTTACCAGATGTCAGCACCTGAAACAGATAACGCAGAAGTGTTTTTCCAGTGTACCGGTTATCGTGAGGACTCACACACAGCGCTTGCTCTCACGGGCCTTTGCGTATGCAGGATCAGGGAAGTCATGGCGCTCAATCCACTCTCTTGTTGGAGACAAAAATATTATCCTGATGGGGCCTCCTGGTGCAGGGAAAACGACGGTAGGCAGAATAATAGGTCACAAACTAGGCCGTTGTGTCATTGACGTGGACGATGACATCCTGGAGAAAACCTGGAAGATGAGCGCTTCTGAAAAATTGCAGGATGTTGGTAATGAGCAATTTTTAGAAGAGGAAGGAAAAGCCGTGTTAAACTTGTCAGCATCTGGAAGTGTGATTTCCCTCAGTGGATCCAATCCCATGCATGATGCTAGTATGTGGCATCTGAAGAAAAATGGGATTGTTGTGTACTTGGATGTACCTCTAGTGGATATAATTAGTCGTCTGAAATCACTGAAAGCTGGCAGGATTGTTGGTCAGAACTCTGGAGCATCCCTGAGAGACTTACTGCGGCACACAAGACTGTACTATAAGAAGTGGTACGACACTCGAGTCTTCTGTGAGAGCGGGGCTTCTGCCGAGGAGGTTGCTGATAGAGTGCTGGACGCGGTGAAAAGATACCAAGATGTGGATTCAGAGACATTCATTTCAACAAGGCACGTGTGTCCTAAAGACCTTGACAAGAAGCCTCCACCAAAATACTTCAGTGAAGCTGTGATTGAGGGATTGGCTTCTGATGGCGGACTCTTTGTCCCTGAGAAGGAGTTGCCGAAATTAAGCTGTGGGGAGTGGAAAAACCTAATAGGAGCGACCTACATAGAAAGAGCACAGATCCTTCTGGAAAGGTGTATTCACCCTGCAGACATACCGGCCACCAAGTTGGGAGAAATGATTGAAACTGCTTATGGGGACAACTTCGCCTGCTCCAAAATTGCCCCCGTCAGGCATCTGTCGGGCAACCAGTTCATCCTGGAGCTGTTCTACGGGCCCACAGGGTCCTTCAAGGATCTGTCCTTACAGCTCATGCCTCACATCTTTGCCTACTGTATCCCACCAAGCTGCAATTATGTGATCCTTGTAGCGACTGCAGGAGACACGGGGAGTGCGGTCTTAAATGGGTTTAGCCACCTTAGTAAAAGTGACAAGCAAAGGACAGCTGTGGTCACATTTTTCCCAGAGAATGGAGTGAGTAGTTTTCAAAAAGCACAGATAATTGGCAGTCAGAGAGAAAACGGATGGGCAATAGGCGTCAGGTCAGATTTCGATTTTTGCCAGACAGCTATTAAAAAAATATTTAATGATTCTGATTTTACTGGCTTTCTGACTGTGGAATATGGAACAGTCTTAAGTTCAGCAAATTCTATAAATTGGGCTCGGCTGCTTCCCCAAGTAGTTTATCATGCATCTGCCTATCTTGATCTTGTTAGCCAAGGGTTTATTTCCTTTGGAAGCCCAGTAGATGTCTGCATCCCCACAGGAAACTTTGGGAACATGTTAGCAGCAGTCTATGCCAAGATGATGGGGATCCCTATCCGAAAATTCATCTGTGCCTCTAATCAGAACCATGTTTTGACGGATTTCATAAAAACTGGACATTATGATCTAAGGGATAGGAAATTAGCACCGACCTTTTCACCATCAATAGATATTCTCAAATCTTCAAACCTGGAGCGACATTTATACTTGATGGCTAACAAAGATGGACAGTTAATGGCAAATTTATTTAATCAGTTAGAGAGCCAACTTCACTTCCAGATAGAGAAGATGCTCGTCCAGAAGCTGCAGGAGGACTTTGTTGCTGACTGGTGTTCTGAGGGGGAGTGCCTCGCAGCCATCAGCAGTACCTACAACACGGCAGGGTATATTCTGGATCCACACACGGCTGTTGCAAAGGTGGTTGCAGACAGGATGAAAGACAAAACCTGCCCGGTGATCATCTCATCGACAGCTCACTACTCGAAGTTTGCACCCGCTATCCTGCAGGCCCTGAAGATTAAAGAACTCAATCAGACGTCATCAAGCCAGCTTTACTTACTGGGTTCGTACAATGCATTACCACCGCCTCATGAGGCTTTGTTAGAGAGAATGAAGCACCAAGGGAAGATGGACTACCAGGTTTGTGCAGCTGACGTGAACGCCCTGAAGAGCCATGTGGAAAAACTGATCCAAAATCAGTTCATAAGGAAGTCTGAGTAGAGTATTTTTCTTGGCAAGAAGCAAAAATAAATCTTGAGAGTTGGTTGGGACTACAGTAGCGTTTTGTTCTGTATAAATGTTTTGTATGCATCTGTTGGAATTCCAGCGCCCTGACCCCTGGGCCTGACCTTACACCTGAGTGACCTCCGGGTCCTCCAGAAGGGACCTTCCAGCATTGCCCCTGGAACCTGGTGCTGCCAAGCTTCATTCTCTGCTTGTGGGGGATTTGACAGTTTCTCCTTCACCCCGCTTCTTAGAGGAACAAAATGCTGGTATCTAGCTTGGCATTTAAAATCTTTAAGCACAGCTAAGTACTGCATCTATAGCCATTTGCTGTTTATTGTTCAAACCGTTTGTTGCTTGAGATAGTTAACTCACACAGCAGAAATAGGAAGTTAGTTCATTAAGATTGGAGCCATCTTGTTTTAACCCTTTCAAGCTCCAGCTGGGACAGTGGTTGCTTCCGTGTCTCCACATTGCTCAGCTGGAGTTGGCAGACTGCTCACTGCCCTTAGGGTCTTTGTAGTTAGGCTGGGAAAGTCTGAAAGTCGAGCCAGCATTTAACTCGGTGTAGCCATCAGCAGAACTGTGGAGTCGTACACAGAAATAAATCACCCACTTCAAGAGGAAGGGGTTCCAAAATCAGTAATGCTTAAAAGTTTTAATAAAAGTACAATTATAGACAACAGCTTTTCTATATTATTTGAAGTCTGTTCCTATTTGTCTCAAATTTAATAAACATTTTTGGGCACCTAACCCACTCAAATTAATGCAAATGCTTAATGTCCATTGCTGTGTAGTGGCAGTGATTTTAGCTGCTCTGTGTGTATTTCCTGAATATTTACTTTCTGGATTACAGGTTGTCACTGACCTGAAGTGTCTCCACCACAAGATGGCATTCCTCACAGAGTGTCTTTGCTGATGATGTTCTGCATCTAGTTAGCTTAATTTGAAAATTAAAATGATGAAAAATATTAATAGTTCTAAAGGGCAAGGAGCAATCTGTTTTACAAGTTTGAAATTAAACTAATTCCATTTTAGCATCAGATCTCTGACTTGGCTTTTAAAATGTAGTTCTACAACCTGCCATGGAGGCTAGGAATGTCCCGGGTACAGTGCTTGCCTAGCGTGCACAAAACTCTGGGTTCCAACCTTAGCACATCGGAGGGTAGAGACAGTGCTTAAAAACCATGTTAATCTACATAGTTTGAGGCCAGCCTGGGATACATGAGATCCTGTCTTTTAAAAAAAAAAGGAAAAAAAAAAAAGACAGAAATGAAAAACCTGAAGCAGTTTTTGATGATGGAGTTGCAAAGCTCCGGGTGTTTGTGTAAACAGTCTATCAGCTTAGAATATTTGCTTCAATGGATAAATGACGTTAAAATACTTGATTTTTGGACTCAATAACTAATGGGAGAACACATGTGTCTGAGTGACATACTGCACAAAATACCTGCCACAAAATATGTGTGAATAAATAAGAAGCAAGTGATGCGGCCAGGTGGGATAGAACTGAACAGAAAAAGGAGTAAGGTGTGGTGGCACACACGTGTGGTCCCAGCACCTGGGACGCTGAGGCAGGAGGACTGCAAGCTTGAGACCGTGTGTGCTACATAAACGAGCTAACAAAAGGAAACTTTGCTGTGAGGTAACCAGGTTCCACAGCAGGCGGAGTCCTGGGGCGCAGCTTTGGAGCAGGCAAGGGAGAGAAAATGCCGCTCTGCCTGCTTGGCTCCCCGCTGTGCTCCCGGTGTCTTCCTGTGGTGTTTGGTTCCCTCAGTTCTTCATTTTGTGTTTGTTTTGAGACAGGGTCTCACGATGTAGTCCTACCTGGCCTGAAATGCCCTATGTCGACCAGGCTGGCCACAAACTCACAGATCCTCCCTCCCGCCTCTGCCTCCCAAGTGCTGGGATTAAAGGCCTGCGCCACCACCGCCGGGCTTCAGCTCCCCCTTGCAGTGTGGGGATGAACAACAGTGTTTGCGCCCTCTCCTCCCGTGTAATTGAGGCGGTAGTCATCCTGTCAAGGGCTAGTGTCCAGCTGAGCCCTGTGCCCGGTTTCCTTCAACTCTGATAATGTGTTGCTTTCCTCTCCTGCTTTCTCAACTCCTCCCGCGAGCCTGACTTCCGGTGCATTTAGATGCTCCTTTCAGAGTTTCGCATTCAAAGCAAACCTTGACAAGCACCCACACATCTACCCAACTATGCTTCTGCAGGCTCTACCCAAGATGTAGTGCTGCCAAAGGCCATGTGATCCCCCGTTCTCATCTCCACTCAGTGTGGTGCAGGGTGGGTGGTGAAGCCTGCGATACTCGAGTCTCTGGAGTGGAGAGCAGAGACTGTGGCCCTCTTAGCATTTATTCCTCCTCCTCTAAGAAGTAGTTGTCCCAAAGCTCATGTGAGTCAGCGTGTGTGTGTGTGTGTGTGTGTGTGTGTGTGTGTGTGTGTGTGTGTATTTGCTTTGTTTAGTTTTGAAATTCTTCAATTCTTTATTTATTTATTGGTTTTTCGAGACAAGGTTTCTCTGTGTAGCTTTGGAGCATATTCCCGGAACTCACTCTGTAGCACAGGCTGCCCTCCAACTCACAGAGATCCTTCTGCCGCTGTCTCCCAAATGCTGGGATTAAAGGCGTGCACCACCACTGCCTGTGAACCCCTTCAATTTTCTGTAAATAAAATCATACTGCATGATCTGTTTATTGTGGCTGAGCACTTTAAAACTATGACAGCCAGATGAATTAAGCTATGGCTCACCGACTTCTTAGTATAAAGTAATATATAATGTAATGTAAATATCACAATATGCTTATCAATTTGTGAGTGTTTTACTAATTTTTCTCTGTTCTTGTATCCATGAGTATATCATTTTGTAAAATTCTAGTAATGTGTTTTTTCTTGACATTATAATAAGAATGTATATATGAAATAATTATTTTACAATTACATGCCTACAGTGAATTTATAAGACTTTGAAAAACAGATAAGAGGTTTTGTTTTTGTTTTTGTTTTTGTTTTTTTGAGACAGGTTTTGCTATGTAGTCATGGCTGTCCTGGAACTTGCTCTGTAGAGCAGGCTGGCCTTGGACTCAGAGATATGTGTACCTCTGCCTCCTGAATATTGGGATTAAAGGCATGTGCATGACCACTGGGCTACAAGTAAGGTTTTTAATTGTACATTTTAGAAATTATAAAACGATTCGTTCAAAATAAAGTTAAGACAGTATTGTATGATGTTTTAGAGTTTAAAAGTTACCCACTGGAGAATCACGGACGGTGCAGCGTTGCCCTAAATCCACTGGCACACCACTGCTTGATGTCACCATAACAAAAATAGATTTTATGGCACCATCCAACCCATGAAATGTAGTCTGCCTTTGTTTCCATTCATTAACATAAATAAAATCTACATGTGAAATAATCATTTTGGGGGGCTCCATCTACACGCTAACCATTAAAATCATTAGCTTTAGTTCTTTGATTTTTTTTTTTACTTTAAAAACAGATTTCTTCACAGATAAACTTCTCACTTAAAGCAAAGAAGTAGCAAATGTAACAGAAGAGAGAACCATCAAAGAGAAGACATCAAGCAATATTTTGATAGAAGTATAGTAAGTTGCTTCCTGCTGAGTTTGCTTTTGGTTGTTAGCGGTCTTTAATTTGTGAGTCTGGGGGCTGGAGAGATGGCTTGGCTGTCAAGTGCACTGGCTGTTTTTCCAAAGGACCCAAGTTTGATTGGCAGCACCCACGTGGCACCTCACAACCATTTGTACCTCCGGTTCCAGGGATACAATTCTCTCCTGGCTAATGCAGGTACCAGGCATGTGTACAGGGCACAGACATACATACAGCAAAACACATAAAAAATTTTAAAATAAATGTTCTAGGGGACATGATGACAATCATGGAATCCAAAGTTTAAAATTTAAGTGGAAGTTAAATAGGCAAATGGGACTGGAGGGAACATGGCCCAGAGTGTGGTATGTAGTGTTTATTTTGAAACAAAGGGTGTCCAGAGTTTTGAAGACGAGGCTAGGAAGGCAAGATCCATTTTGATTTGATTTCTGTAAGCTATGTGATGTCACTGAAGGAGTTTAAGTTGAATACTGTAGTCCTTTTTAAAAAGTCATTTTATGAGCATGACTGTTTTGCTTGCATCCTCAGAGGTCAGAAGAGGTCACTGGGTTTCCTAGCACTGGAGTGAGGGACAGGTCTCAGCCACCATGTGGCTGCTGGGAGTCGAACCTGGGCCCTGTGCGAGAACAAGTGCTCTCAACTACTGAGCCATCACTCCAGATCCACCCTCAGCCTTTTTACAGGTCCAAGACCAATTAGGAGGCCAGAGCCTGGGCCAAAGCACACAGCCTTTCTTCCTGCCTGTCTCCTGCCTTCATGTGCCGTCCCACCCACCTCCCAGGCCTTCTCTCCAGCAGGACCACTTCTCTGTGGTTGCCATATTCCAAAAGCAGAAATAGAAACTATAAGACTGATTAAGGTATAATGGTCCAGAACGTCTCTCCTACTGCACTGTATGCTTGCAGCAGCTGGCAAGTCCAGTTAGGTTCAAGGTGTACAGAAATAAGTTGCCCCTTTGAGCGGAGTAGCAGAGTCACACAGTAAAGGAATGCGGGATGAGGGCTTCCATGGGGCGTTTTATACACTCTACCACAGTTATAATAAGTTGGCATTTCAAGAGGAGGTTACTTACACCAGGAAGACAGTTTCTTGTTCATGATTTGAGAATTCTAACACTAATAATGTCGATTCCTGTACCTCATAGTATTTGATCACATGGCCTTTCTTTAATACACAGAATCGGGATTCTGTCTTTCTTTGGTGAAAATTTGCCATGGTTAAGTTCAGAATATACAAGAGTTCACGCCATTTGTTAATATCCCTTTAAAACTTCACCAGATGAGTCCATTGGCAAAGCCTTTGCTAAGCAAGATGAGGACCTGAGTTTGATTTCTAGAACCTGTGTTTAAAATGCCTGGCGAGGTGATGCATGCTCATAACCCCAGTACTGGAGGCAGAGATGGATGAATCCCGGAGCTTGCC